GCACGTGTCCAGGGTAAGGAGTCTGATGCGACCCTGTGTCAGGCAGCGTGTGCAGAGACAGCAAGTCCTGGACATCTCTGCTAAGAGCACACGTGTATCAAACCCCGGAGTCAAGTTGGCAGAGCCCTATGTGGGGTTAAGGTGCCCACATACCTGCCACAGGCCTGTCTTAGGTGCCGTAGTGCAGGGATCCACAGGTCATGCAGTAAGATCCTACACTAGAAGCGGGGTGGTCCAGATAAGGGAAGGGTGTGTGCCAGATGAGGGAGAAGGATGCAGGACTCAACGAGCTGCCTTATATGGGAACAGCTGACAGTTTCAGGTAAGGAAATGTCATGACCACATTTTATTTTAGGAAGATACACTGGTCAGGTTATTCTAAGTTCATATGTGGTGAGAAATATCTCCTCCAAATCTCAGAGCAGGCAGGATGACAGGGAGTGTTGGAACATGCAAAAATTCTTCCGGAGGAGTGTCAGGACACTCTTTCAAAATCACTCTCCAAATTCTGTGTAGTTTTTCCTTCTTTTTTAGTATTTATCCCGCATCCTCCGTCGGCTGGACATCCTGTAATGCCCAGTGGCAGAGCAATTCCTGGGGAATTAACAGACTCCCTGGACATAGCGGTGGTGAGGAAGGAGAATGATAATATTGTCAAGGGTGGGAATTACTTTAACCTTTAACCTTCTTAATCCTCACAAGTGAGATCCAGATTCCATTTCAGGTCTGGAGAAATCTATCCATTCATTTTTTAACTATAACCAAAGGAGTCATTTCACTGTGCTTTAAGCCCAGCACATATTTAATAACGATGTCTTCTAAGAGTGAATGCTGCTCTGGGGAGAATCTTTCAGATTCAATTCAGATGTATTTCTGATGGAGATGACGTTGGCAGGATGATCTCGGTCCAGGTCTCTGATGGAGACGTGTGCTCAGATGCCAGGAAGCGATTACCGTTTACTCATCTGGAAGGCAGGACAATTTTCAAGTAATCTGAGGAAATCTTGCTTTTATGAGAAGATGAACTAATGTCAGTGTACACCGAAATAACGTCAGACAGTAAAACTAAAATATTAATGCAGACACCAAACCAGCCCCTCAAAGGCTCAAGAAATCTCATACACTTTAAGATAAATCAGAGTTCGACTTTTGTATTCGGATGTAGCCAGAGGATGTGTTTCCAAGAGAGCACTTTGCTGCCCTGCCCGACTCACTACGTGCAGTCCAGGAATTGATTTTCTCATATACCTGGTTCTCGCTCATTTATTTCTGACCTCTTTATGTTGCAGGATGTTCTTCATCCCCCTCAGGAGTGTCACCAGCTTCCCCCACCATGTCCTTTTGAGACAGGAGGAAAGGGGGCGGGCACAACCATTAAAAGAATGACATAGCCATTGAGGACACGACATAAATCGGTTAGAACCGATTAGGACCAAGATGGCAGAAGATTCGACTTCCAGTAGACCTTGAGCCTCATTGTACGCTCATTGCAATGCATCAGCTAAATGACACACCCACAGGAGCCATGACAGTTCTGAGGCGACCATAAAAAGCCAAAAAGTGGGCGGTGACCCAGTTCCTGGAAATCTCTGCACCTTCCCCCAAATAGTGGGAATAATCCTCCCACATGACCCTATGAAAGTACCCAGCCCATAAAAACTAAAACCCCATACTTTGGGCCGCTCTCATTTTCTAAGACAGACTGCATTCTGTCTATGGAACGTGTCTCTCTCTAAATAAACCTGCTTTCTCTTTGCTGTGGCTCACTCTTGAATCCTTTCCTGCGTGAAGCCAAGGACCCTCACTTGGCAGCCTGTCCAAGGGACTCACTCAAGACCTGGGACGTGACCCTCCTTTCGGGCCCCATTTTTCCTGCAACAGTTTCACACAGTGGTTTATTTGCTTTTGTTTTTGCTTTAATACAGAAGGTAGGATGTACCCTGGTGTGTCTCAGTGGCTGTTGGGACCAGCCTCATCTGGGAGGAGAGGTGCTGAGGAAGCCATTCGGGAGACAACATCACGAGGCTCAGTGTTGAACAGGTGTGTCTGCTGGCGTAGAGCCAAGATATTTATGCAAATTATTAAAAGGTATGAGATGCTTATCATTTATAAGCTACCAAATGAATCCTTTAAATAAGCTCTTCAGCACACTGGAAAAAAGAAACGGCTCAAATGACAGCCAAGATTGAATAAACTCAACAAATTTTCTCCAAGTCAATCAACCAGAAGGAGAAAAATGCATTTCCTCTGATAGAATGGTAGGAGCCGGCTTATGACGGGCTGCTTCCTGCTTCAGAACTGTTTGCATCACGTTTGCAGAGAGGGCTTGGGGTCCTAAGAGATCGTCATTTCATACATTTCCTCAAAAATTATTGTCTAATAACACCAGATACAATTAATCCATGTTCATGAATTTAAAGGGGTCCACAAGGAAACCTATTAACTTCTGCGATTCTAAGCTGAAATGTACTTAAGATTTATGGATAGATGTAAACCATAAAACCCCACTATTTTACCCTAATGAGGCAAGAACATCTGCATTGTTGTGAAACCTAAATTATAGAACATGTGGTGAAGTTTGTTTGTTTGTTTTTTCATGAAAGAAAGTGTTTCCTGGGCAATTTGCTTTAATAAATACGTAAGAATGATTAAGAATGTATAAATGAAGGTGGATGAATATTTTTAAATTAAGGTACTCTAAATTATTTTACTAAATATTATACTACATAAGCTCCCTTTGATCTTACCTGTTTTTTTATTCCTTGAGTACATTCCCTAGCTGTTACTATTGTTAGATAATACTTAAAACTCACCCCCAGATGAAACCATCCCAAATTGCCCTCTGGGGGGCTCTTGGTGAGAGGAGAGGGACTCCCCTGGTGGGTGGATCCGGTGCTAGACCGTACCGTGTTATTGGGGAGCCCCACAATGGCCAGCTTCCCAGTTCCTCTGGCTCCCTCTTGGGCCCCCAATCCCCCAATCCAGTGTGGCTTCTGGTGGCAGGGAGACTTCCTGTTTGATTGGGGCTTCGGATCCATGGCTGTGAGCAGCGGTTGCCATGGCAAATCACCATTTTCTGTTGACCGAGAAATCACCATTTTCTGTTGACCGAGGTATCAGGTCACTTTCTACCTCAGGTTTCCATTTAACTTCATAAGAGAAATGGATGGCTATTCCAGTCAGGGCAAACTCCTTCCATTTCATTCTGAGTTCCCTTTTTCCTTCTCCAAATGTAGGATCAAAGTTCCAAGGCCTTCGAGCCTCAAGGCATCACAGCCTTCTGGTCCTCGGAGGACCAAACTGGCTCATCCCCCACTCTTTCCCCAGGTGTGTGGGTTAGGGCAGAGGCGACCTGACCCCACCTCTAGTTATGATGGATTTAGGCTGATAAGCTCTCACAGCTCAAGCAGTTCAGAAGGCTTTACGCCTCACAACTGTTCTCCCTGTCACGAATCTCTAAAGCTTACTTTGGAATTCAAAAGCCACGAACTGGTGCCTTTATTCTTCTGCATTATCCTTCCCCTGAAGCTGTAAGCTTGAAATGCCTCAACCTCCATAGCTGTTTCCAATGCGGAAAAGGGCCAGGAGGGAAAATAAATTAGAGGTTGTGAGACACCTTTGTTAATACACTTATCTCACACTTAATTTGAGGACTTTTATTCCTGAAAACTCTGCCCTGAAGTGAAGAGCCAACAGGTGAAAAAAAAAAAAAAAAAAGGTTTCCATTGATTTCAGTGAGATAAATGATGATGTGGTCCAGCTCTACCCGAGACAGTCAAACACTTTTCCAAAAGGAAAAATAAATCAGTTGAACAGAGGAAGCTTATATAAACAACAACAACTCCAAAGTAAGTGCATACAAAGCTTGCACATAAAATGTAATGTCATAAAAAATAATTATATATATTCTTTCTGCCCCATAATCTTCACTGTTTTTAAATTATTTGGGGGCTCATGGTTATCTTGCATTCAAACTGCGATGACATCAAAGTTATAATGCAAGAAAAACCACATTTAGGGCAAAATAAAGCCTCAACCTTAGGGTCCTCGGACACCTGTGGAAATAGGTAGGTGAGCCATGAACCCAAAGGTCTTCTGGGGGTGTCATCTTCATCCTCCCGCCCAACTGCAGAGCAGAAATCCCAGACAGGAGATGGGAGATACCCCAATTATGTCACTAAGTTGGATAGGATGTGGAGACAAGGGAACCCTCTTACACTTTGGTGGGAAGGTAAATTGGTGCAGTCACTATGGAAACAGTATTGAGGGTCCTTACAAAACTAAAAGTAGAGCTATCATATGATCCAGCAATTCCAATCCTGGGTGTATATCTGGAAAAAACAAAAACACTAATCCAGAAAGATACATGCACCCCAATGTTCATAGCAGCTCTATTTACAATAGCCAAGACATGGACACAAACCAAGTGCCCATCAACAGATGATTGGCTTAAGAAGATGTGGTACATATATACAATGGAATAGTACTCAGCTATAAAAAAATAATGAAATACTGCCATTTGTAGCAATGTGGGTGGACCTATGCTTAGTGAAGTAAGTTAGAGAAAGACAAATACCATATGACATCACTTACACATGGAATCTAAAAAATAATACAAACGAATCTATATACAAACCAGAAACAGACTCACAGACATAGAAAACAAACTAGTGGTCACCAAAGGGGGACATGGGGGAGCAAATGAGGGGCATGGGTTTAACAGATTAAAAAATAAATAACAACCCAGATGCAGCTGCCAGGTGTGACGTGGGTAGGGTTTCCTCACCAGAACCCTAATCCGTGTCCTCCGAGTAGGCTCTGGATTGCCAGACCCTCTCCTAAAGCACCTTCCCAGTGCCGGGAGCTCAGCCACAGCAGCGCGGCCATCCGGCTTCTCATTCAGGTTCAGAGGGTCGCGTCACTCTCCAACACAAAGCTACAGAGCGGCAGAGGCAGCAAGCCATGCTGTGAGCTGGCCTCACCTTAGGAGCTCTTCTTATGTGTTCGCTTCGGCAGCACGTATACTAAAGTTGGAATGATACAGAGAAGATTACCGTGGCCCTGTGCAAGGATGACGTGCGCATTCGTGAAGTGTTGTCTTTTCATTTGTAGACACGTGGGTGGACCTAGAGAGTGTCATACATAATGAAGTAAGTCCAAAGGAGGAAAGCAAATATCGTCTAAGAACGCTTAGAGGTGGAATCTAGAAAAATGGTATAGATTATCTTATTTGCAAGACAGACTTAGAGACACAGTTGTAGAGAACAAATGTATGGACACCAAGGGGGAAAGGGGTGGGGACGGAGGAATTGGGAGACTGGGATTGACACATACATTATTGATACTCTGCATAAAATAGACAACTGACAGGAACATACTGTATAGTACAGGGAACTCTACCTAATACACTGTGGTGACCTAAATGGGAGGGAAGTCCAAAAGGAAGGGGATGTCTGTGTGTGCATGACTGATTCATTTTCTTGTGCAATGGAGGCTAACACAACATTGTAAAGCAACCATACTCCAATAAAAAATTAAAAATAAATAACATCTATATTTAAAAAATCATATTTTTATTGCTGGTGGAAAAAAAAAAAGAAACCCTTCTTAACATTCTAGGAGTCATAATACCTCGTCTTCACACAGGAAGAGGCTGACACGTAACAAGCAACTTGCCTTGAGAGTCAGAGCCCCAAGCCCGCTGGTCTCGGTCTCAGAATGAGAACAGAGCATCTCAGCTCCGTGATGGTGCACCACCTATGTGTCAGCAATTAAGGGATAAATCCACTTGTGGTTGAACTAGCTAATCTCGGAATAAAGACCTGCCAACATAATGAAGAACTTGGACATTTCCAAGAAATTGGATTAACTCATCATAATACAGAGCTCGGCGTTTATGAGTGACTGTTTCAAAAACTTGAAAATGACCCAGACACAGACGTGATCTCATTCAGCACAGCAAGGAGGAGGCTGGCACTGTCACCTTGTTTTCCACGGTAGGAAGATGCCAGGGCAAAACCTCACTGGAAGCCTGACCACTGACTGAGTGAAAATGGGCTGGATACATACCCTTTCACCTCCTTGCATATCTGATCGCGTTATTGCAAAGGAACTCTTATAAATGGCAAACACATTTTTTAAAAAGCTACTTTTATATTATTCTGGAAATGTGATGGGTAACGAGTCCGCTTAGTTTCGGAAGACGCACCTTGCTGAGCGTGGAAAGCAGCAGGACCCTATGTGATTGCAAGGTTTGGTCGCCCTGATTCCAACAGCCTCGCAGGATGAGATCCGAAGATAGATGATTGCTTTACAAATGCTGCCCATGAAAAGGTTCTGGAGGCTTGGAGTGAGCTGGGGTGTTGAGATACATTCCAGGGAACAGGACAAGTCCAGGAGGGGGAGGCAACGGGATAAAATACTGTTTGCTGGTGATTCATGGCTTTGGAAATTTTAATGACGCAAATTTTAATTTCTCTTCAGAGACTCTGAATTTGGTTCTGGATAGAGGCTGAGCAAGGGGCGCATGAAGCTGGCTGCAGAGAGGAAAATGTTGGATAGACTTGATTAAGCTCATTTTGATCTTTGCTAACCTCTAGGAAGTTCTGGGTAATGAACAGAACGTTTTCAGGGAAAGCGGTGGGGAGAGAGGGAGGGAGAGAGTGAGCACACTGTTCCCTCTGGGGGCCGAGTACTTCCTCTTTCATGAACGAACCCAAAGTTCTCCCCTCTCCCTGGCGTCTCTCTGGACAAGTGCGTAGTTAGTGCCCTCATTTCTGGGCACGGCAGCCTGCACGGATGGTTTAGGTCTCATGTACATACTTCCTTGGATATTTTGTGTATTGAGTTACTTTTAGTCTACCTTTTTCTTTAAAAACCAGAATATGAGCCCCTCCAGGGCAGGAGACGTGTCTTTGTCCTTGCCTTCTCCTGCGGGACCACATTGAAAGCACTATTGCCTGGGTCCATGACTTGTGCAGGGCTGCACGGAGGCTCCGTGAGTGTCAGCCCTTCTTATGGCCTCATGGATGACCCTTACTCAGCATAGTAAGCATGGACGCTGTCGTTTGGATTTCTGCTCATCCCTCTTGAGGCTGCTTGCACATGCGTAAGGCCATGGTCTTCTTAGGCTTGAGGATGAGATGGTTTAGAGAACCCATGTGAGATGTCTTACAGGTAACTAAGGGCTACGGGAAGGAGGTGGCCCACTTTCAGGGTGCAGGTCTTCATCACTGCTGGGCACCTGCACACTCATGGAGACCTGTGGGCCGGTGGACAGCTTGGCATCAGGCAGCCTGCTTGGTAAAGCAGGGGAGGCAGTCCCAGCCTCGTGCCTTAGTTTTCACATCTAGGAAATGGGAACAACAGTACCTACCTCAGAGGATTTAAGCAATTGAAGCATCAAATGGTGAAACACGGCCCCCGAAGGATGGCCACCCTAATCCCAGAACCCGTGAAGATGCGATGTTCCACGGTGAAGAGGACTTCGCAGATGTAATTGAGGTCCCGGGCTTTACAACGGGGATGGTACCCTGGGTGGCTGAGGTGGGCCTAGTCTAGGCCCTGCGTCTGCAATAACAAAGCACTATAGACTGGGTGGCTTGAGCAACAGAAATTTATTCTCTCACTGTCTGGAGGCTGGAAGCCCAAGATCAAGGGGTCAAAAGGGCTGCTTCCTTCTGAGACTGTGACGGAGAATCTGGTCTGGGTCCCTCTCCAGCCTCTGGGGGTTTGCTGGCATCCTTGACCTTCCTTGGCCTTCAGAAGCATCACCCCATCTATCTCTTCCTTCATGCTCACGTGGTGTCCTGATTCCATGTGTGTCTCTGGGTCCAAATGTCCCCTTCTTATAAGGACCCCAGTCACATTGCATTAGGCCCACCCACATGACTGAACTTGATCATCTGCAAAAAAGCCAACTTTCAAATTAGGTCACAATCATAGGTACTGGGGGTTAGGACTGCAACATTTTTAAAGCACAGCAAGCCCTTATGAGCAGAGAACTTTCTCGGGCTGGAGTCACAGAGATGCGGCAGCCTCTGGACCCCATTCCTTTGGGAAGCACCTCAGGTCCCACCAGGAAAGGGGCTCAGGTGTTCATCAGGAAAAATGATGAACACACAGCAGCCCTAAAGCATGTTTCCAGGGGGCATAAGGAACAACCATTGTGATGAGACTAAGAAATACATTCTATTTATTGAAGTGAAGCCAGAATATACTCGAGTATTTTTTTTTTTTTTTCTGTACGTGGGCCTCTCACTGTCTGTTGTGGCCTCTCCTGCTGTGGAGCACAGGCTCCGGACGTGCAGGCTCAGCGGCCATGGCTCACAGGCCCAGCCCGTGTTGTGGCTCGTGGGCTCTAGAGCACAGGCTAAGCAGTTGTGGTTCACGGACTCAGTTGCTTTGCGGCACGTGGGATCTTCCCGGACCGGGGCACAAACCTGCGTCCCCTGCATCGGCAGGTGGACTCTCGACCACTGCGCCACCAGGGAAGCCCAACCTGAGCATTTCTGCACATTATTTATGGAAACTCAGCCTTTATAGTGATGTGCCCACTGCCTGTCCTGCACCCATTGGGCCCTAAAATTTCAGCCCCTCCTACACTCCCCAGGCTCAGCCATAAACCCTCGCCTAGGCCAGGTGAATTAAAAGGTCCACTAGGCTTAGGGCAAAAATGAGCCAAGCCAGCCAACCTTGTTGCTGATATGGGGGACAGCCACATTTATTAAGCACCTACTATATATTAGGAATTAAGCCAACAGCTTTTTGTCACACGATTTAATGTACTGCTTTGTGAACATGCTCTTCCCTTGAGGAGCTGCTCCATTTCCTCTTTCCTGTGCTAAGAATATGAGGACCAGACATACGTCCCTTAGCTCTTTATTCTAGGAAATACTTGCTCCCGGAAGATAAGACTGTTACCCAATCAAAATAGCCTATTTATCAAGGCTTACCAAGACCCTTGCTCTTCAAGCCCCTCACCTCACTGTACCTGTCAGCCCAAACTACGATGTCACACCCTGTACACACTTTCAGCACAACACCTGCATCTCAGTCCCCCAGCTCAGCTCCCTCAACCCCTGTCCACCTGGCTGCACTAAGGCTAGGAAACGCAGCTCTGCTTGGACGTCGGTTCTCTGGGTGTCTTCAGGGAGGTCAACTTCAGACACCTCACTTCACACCTCACTTCATAGGGCTGGACACAGAGGCGGAGAGAAGGAAGTTCTCACAAAGGCCGTGCCTCTGTCCCCTGGACCTCAAACCTTGGTTCTGTAACTGGGTTCTTAGCACCTTGAGTCCCCCAGGAGGTGAGTCTCAGCTTGGATTCCTGTGTCTGGGTCTCTGCCTCAGACCCCACCTGTCCTCCACGGGCCTCAAGTCCGTCTCCCAAGCCCAGCTAGGCTTGGCCAAGGCCTGATCCCGTGGCACCTGCCTCCCCAAGATGGCCCGGCTCCCTGCCATGCCCGCTGGGACAGCCTTGTTCCTGCTGTTGGCCTGGGCGGGCTCAAGGTCATGGCCCTTCCCAGTCTAACCCAGTCCTGCCACAGCCCGAGGCTGGGTCCTGAAGATGTTAACCTTTAGTGCTTGGTATTTAGAGGTTTGAAAATATTTACTCCCTGGATTTCTGAATCCAATTATCCCTTGTCCTCAATAATAATCCAGTTACTGTTTTCTAATAGTGTTAAATTGAGTATTTCATGACAGTCTCTGGACTGTGGTTACTTTGATAAGTGTTTTATTTTTCCATTGCTGCTACACTAATCACAAGCTTAGGGACTTGAAGCAGCACGTTTATTCCCTCAGTGTCTGGGATCCAGAGGCAGCCAGGCTTGGCGGGCTCTCTGCTCAGGGTCCCACAGTCAAGCTGTGCTGCAGGACGGGTTCTCATCAGAGGCTTGGCCGGGGAAGGAGCTGCTTCCAAGCTCCCTCAGGTCGTTGGCACCATTCACTTCTGTGGAATCGCCCTGTGTTTTCTTAAGGGTTTGTATCTGTCTGTTGGACATCCATTCATCGCAGACACAAATTAATTATATTTCCTGAGTTATTGATGCCCTGGCATTTGGGAGCCATCAGGCCAGGAAAGGAACTGGCCCTCCCAGGCCTAA